TTATTTACCCGGGTAGGAAGAGGGTTATCCGAGTAAATAATCATAGCTTTGAAGAACATGAATAGTATCCTAAAGTTTTGGACCCACACCAAATAATGTACGTAGAAAATTTGCAAAATTAGTCCTCAAAGGCACCAACAGAATATATCATTAATACCAAACAAAATTTGAAATCAGAAGAAGATGACGAGACTCAAAGGGACATCAACAGTCACCGATAATATCTCGCTTGCATATCCATCACCCTAAGAAGCTTCACCCGTTAATTATGCTTATCTATGAACAGATGATATATGAATCTAAAATACGCGGATTGCACTTCCCATAGTGCTCTTCAGGTATAAGCATCTCACCTATTCACATGCAATCAATATCAGAATTGAAGATGGTAATTTGATAGCTAAAAAAGATCATGCAACAAAAGCAACCAAAAAGTTTCTCGAACGTAGGTAAATTCTAAGAAGATTCTCTTTAGAGCTACAAGCATCATATTGGTCAATCCAATAGTTAGAGCCCAGAGGCTTGAACATATTGTCACTTCATTCTGTGCTTTTAATCTATTATGGCAAACTGATAGACACACATATGCTAGGATATGCAAGCTATGACTTTTTACGCGGGTAACCTCTTACCTACCCAGGTAAATAATTCAAACATTTTCCCAAAATTTTGAAATATATCAGGATATCCCCGGGTAGGGAAAAATTTCTAAAAATACTCGGGTAAGAAGGGGGTTACCCAAGTAGGCTTGATGGTCAACGGTCAAACAGGAACAAATTGGTGTTATATTTTCTGGAGAAGTTAAAATTTTGAAATATTTTATAATCAAGATCAATTTGATAATTAATTATTGAATAAGGACTACAATGGTCAAAAAGCCCATATTCACTAGTTCAATACTCAAAGGTGGAAAATGCTATCATACGCATACTATATCATCCATATTAATCGTATTATTATAATGGCTTTATTTCTTGTTTTGGGGGCTTTTGACCACTATAGCTTTTTTTAATAATTAATTACTAAATTGACCCTATTTATAAACTAATTCAAAAATTTAACCTCTCCAGAAAACATAACACCAATCTGCCCCTGTTTGACCGTTGACCATGAAGCCTACTCGGGTACACCCCTACCTACCCGGGTACACCCCTCCCTACCCGGGTATATTTCTTGAATCTGAAAAATGTTTGAATTATTTACCCGGGTAGAGAGGGGTGTACCCGGGTAAATAATCATACCATTGTTGTGTGCGCCCATCCTCTTTGTGTAAACAGCAAATGGAAATCTCTAAATTGAATGAGCTCTAAGACAAACTTGAACGAGAATTTGTTGTAAACGCCGAAGAAAGTGATGCCCTCCAGCAGGAAGCTCATCAAATTAAGGATGATATCCAACACTTAAATAATAGATATCAGGCTATGCTGCAACAACTACAGACTTTAGGTTTGAATCCTAAATTTTTGGCAGCATCTGTGAAAGATTTACAAAATGAGAACTCAAAGCTGAAGGAGGTCTGCAAAATGGAACGCAATGAGAAAGAAACTCTTCGGGAAAAGTCAAAGGACATGGATGAACTTTTGATAGAAAATGCCTTCATGGAATTCTCCTTGTCAAGATTGAATGTTGAGATAGATGAATTAAGAGCAACAGTGAAGAAATTTCAAGATTCCTGCCAAGTTCTTCAGGAAGAAAAATCCATCCTTGTTGATGAGAAGTCAATTCTACTTTCACAGTTACAAATTATCACTGAAAGTATGCAGAAACTAATGGAGAAGAATACTTTGCAAGAGACTTGATTATGAAAGTGCTGCAAATTATAATAGCCCTAACCCATGTAATTAGTAAATTACATGTAATTAAATAATTAAGCATGTTTTAGTGAGTAAAATTAAGTATAAGGCTTAATTAAATGAATTTGAGTCACTTTGGAGTTAAAAAGTGTACTCGGTGAAAATTAAGGGGTATAAATGGGTGTAGGCAAAAGTACCCAAAATATAAAAATAAAAGTGGAAATATTCCTAGAATAATATTTCAGACTTTTGGGTGAAGTTTGGTGATTATTGGAGTTAAATAGATAGACGAACCAATACCCACATAAGCCACTTAACTAAGTAAGTGACTTAGAAACCAAAAAGAACCCAAACCCCCCATTTTCCCGTCGACCATCAGAGAAGAAAAGAAGAAGAAGGAAAAGAAGAAGAAGAAAGGGAGGGAGAAGAAGAGAGAGAGGAGGGAGGAAACCTTAACCGTTTTGAGTGATTCAAAAGCCTAAATCGCTTAGAATCTCTCCCTCATCATTAATCCAAGCTTGGTTCTTAGTGGGGAGTGTTGTGTGGTGAGATTTTTCCTCTCCAAGTTTCGCCCCTTGGTGAGAGTTTGGGGTTTTGGGAGTTTCAACCTCCATTGGAGCTTGAGGAGCCATCAATCCTTGGTTGTGTGACCATTGGTGGTAAGATTCTACTCCTTGAACCCCATAATCCATTGAAATTGCATGATCTAGGGTTTAATGAATAGTGTTTTAGGGTTTTTATGAAATGTTGATGGATTGGCTATGTTCTAGGGGTATTGGAGCTTAGCGTATGTTATGAGAAATGCTAGGAATGATGATTAATCGATGAAAATGAGCTTAAATAGTTATATGACTATACTTTGGATATTGCAAGAATATGATACTTGGTTGTGAGTTTTCTTGCAATTATGATCAATGGTTTGGCTTGGTTGATTGATGATTGTGTCCTTGTGATGTCTAGGATTGAGACATTTGGACCAACCGTGAGTGATCAACCATTGGAGCAAGCTATGGAGCTTGATTAGCTCTTTGGAATAGGTAAGCTCATGCTAAGTTAATATGTAGATTTGATATGGTAGTAATGGATATAAGTAAATATTCATTGGATAGTATGATTGATGCTATGGCACCTTGGTGTAGGTGTGTTACTTGTAAGTCATTGTTGAAACCAAAGTTGATTGGTTGCTGAACCTGTTGGTGGTGAAAAAAGGTTGAACTGAATCTTTGAGGTAAGCCTTCGGACCTTGGGTGTAATTCCCTTGATTGCTCCACCAAGCCCTGATTGGGTAGTGGTTGTGATAGTGTATATAAATGCAATGAAATAGTGTAATGCTTTGTTATACGTATGTGTATGCTTTGGTGTGGCATAGGATGGTGTTTCCCTATGTTGGTATGTTGCATGACGATGCGTAAATCATACTTGGTAGTTTAGCTGGCCAGTAGGACTATTTGCATCTGAGTTTCCTTAGGACAGCTTGAGAGCTCGAGGGATTTCTTCTGGAGATGTTATTGCACTTTGCATAGATATGTATTTACTGCATTATTATTGTTATTGCTATTACACTGATATGGAACTGTGGGGTGGAGAGATGCTCCAAGGACCCCTGGTTTACTGGATATATTCGTATATCTCACCTCGTGTTGTGGGGACCCCTTTTCAGGTAAGGATGCTGCAGGAGCCACCAGTGGCAAGTGGCCATACTTGGACTAGTAGTGATGCATGAGAATCCTATATTTTGATATTATACATGTTGTTTTGTAGCTCACATGTATAGGATTGTAATTAATAGACAATTGATAGATGTATGTTCTGTTTATTTGGAATGGACTTAGCCTATGCTCATGCCTTTGGTTATCTCTTTGTTGATGGGAGCCAAGGGAGTGATCATAGTGTTTTGTAAGCTAAGTTCCATGAATTGTAATGAACATGATTTGTAATTGATGATTACTTTAAGTTCAATATATGTATGCTCATTAAGTATTGGATTGTTGAACTGGAAACTAAATTAGGTACCTAGTGCTAAATTGGGAAATGTTGAGAAAACAAAGACATCTTGTCCGGTTGACCAATTTTCATACCCAATGTGATGGAATTGGACTTTGATGTCTGTATGGAAGTTGTAGACATTTCTCTTAGCTTTCCATAGAGACCAAAATGGTGTAATTTGAGTGAGTATAGGTCAAGTTATGAGTGGAAAACCATAGGTAGGTTAAATGACCTTGTTTTGGGTCACCCAGCCCTGTGGATAGCGCCTGGGGCGCCAGATTCACGCTTGGGGCGCCAAATTACAGAACCAGACAGCAGCATCCACTCTGAGGGCGCCACTCCCACGCTGGGGGCACCAACTTTCTGTTTTCCCACGCTCTGGGCGTGGATCCCACGCTACGGGCGCGGGGTTCTGGTGATTTTGCACCCCTTTTCTTAGAAAATGCATAACTTTGGCTACGGTGCTCCGATTTGAGCGCGGTTTGAACCTACGCGTAGCTAATGAAAAATCCTATAAGATAGTAGAAGATGGGAATCATAAAAGAAGTGTAGAATTAATTTGATAATTAAAGAGATGAAGACATTCAATGACGTATTGTCTAATATACGGGGAATATAATATTAAGTTTAGTCTCATTATTCCGCAAAGCAAATATGGTTATGCTCACATACTTGGTTATATTAAATTCGGTACGTTTTAAAAGAAAAAATTTATCCGAAATTTAATTGAACCATGTGATTGTAACTGCGCCTTACGCAATGATAACAATCCGGTTCTAGAACGAAGTATCACACAAATACTTTACCCGGGTACACCCCTCCCTACCCAGGTAAATAATTCAAACATTTTTCAGATTCAAGAAATATACTCAGGTAGGGAGTGATGTACCCGGGTAGGTAAAAATTTCAAAATATACTCGGGTAAGTAGAGATATACCCGAGTAGGCTTCATGGTCAACAGTCAAACAGGGACAAATTAGAGTTATGTTTTCTAGAGAGATTAAATTTTTGAAATAGTTTATAGATAGGACCAATTTGGTAATTAATTATTAAAAAAAGACTATAATAGTCAAAAAGCCTGTTTTGGGGGATTTACTTTAATGCATAATAGTAATTTTAACCCTATGTAAACATTGAATATTAGAGTAAAGAATTTACCAAAAAAGAAAAATAGCATAAAGAATTTTACAACGAAAATCGCATTACATCTAAACTCGTTTAATAGTTGTTTGCATAACATTTTTTTATAAAAACATATAGCACTACAGTGTGCATATGACAACATACAATATTTTCCTTTTCTTTCTCAATTTTACTAAATGAGACCTACACATACACGAGATATCAATTCTCAATCACATAAACCTTTCCTACGACCACAAGGGCACCACGCAAAAAAAAAAAAATAAGCCATGTAAAGCAATGTCTAGGAGCTAGCCCTCAAAAATAAAAATAGAAGAGTTAACTTTGCATTAGCAAATATTAACCCCTTTGGCACTGCAATATAATGCAAATCCATAATCCAAAAGTGCTCACTGCAATCCATCAATAGCCCTTTTATTCGCTAGTCTTTACCTTGTCTTCTAGTTCAACCTCATCAATATTTTCCTCTTTGTTCACCATACCCGCGCCACTATCAGTATTCCTCCGCTTCTGGGGTCGATTCAGATCATTGTCGTTAATTTCCTCCAGGACTTTTTCACTTGAATCATCACTCGGTTTTAAAACTTCTGTCCCGTCTTGCAGATTCTTAGAATTTTCGTCATTTTTACAACTAGACTCTTCAGAGTTCTCCTCCATCTGGCTCTGGAGTGATTCTATTAGACCCATCATTTCTCTGTTAACCTGTCAAAACAACCAGAAATAGGTAATACAAAATTTTAAGACTTGACACTAAATATCAATTTGTATACAACACGATTAAAGAAGTTAATAGTTTATTCTAGTAAATTATATAAGCAACAAATCTTCTAACCTTGCCTATAGCAAGACAATGTTCAAAGTCCATTATAGTATAAATTATTTTCCACCTTTCCAGTATTTACAAGATCAACCTTTTGCTCAGTTTCTTCATTGCTGAATTCCATATTTTCCAAAAAAGCCTAGGCATATTTTGTAGTAAATTCGGAATACAATTTAAAGACCCAAACAAGGACTTCTCAAACAATCCATATTTGCTGCAAAAATAAAACCTGATGACAGAATAATTATTAATCTCATCATAAATAATCAATGTAATTCAAAAGCTAGGAACAAGAATGATAATAATATCCACTTCCTAAATGAAATTTTATATTTTAGAGACTATCACCAGTATTATGCACAGGCAGTTCTTTCCGTAAAAACCCAGTTTAAAAAATCTGAGCTGTGGTACCTGTGGATTCTGAAGAAAGTCAGCTATGTCAATTGAACATGATGGGCATTTCATAATATTCTTCTGTGCTCGCAAAGTGCGTCCACCTTTACATGCCCGGTCTCGGACGAAACTTTGGCCAGAAAATGCACCCTCCAGACAGGCTTTGCAGAAGTTGTGAGCACAAGGTGTTGTAAGAGGGAAAGTCATCACCTTGTGACAGATATGGCAACCAAACTCTGCAAAATAAAGGAAGCCAGAGATAATTGTATCAAATTAGCAAGTCCAATACTACTGTATTAATAACTACAATGACTTCAAATAACAATCATTCAAGAAAAATTAATAAAAGTTGGGAGTTGTCTATAGATAGAGACCAAGGAACATATACCTTTCAATAGCCTTTCTTTCACGGACTCACTTTTTACTTTTCGTTTAAAGCATACTATTTTCCCATCCTTACGGTTTAATTTCTTACTTTCAGGTTGAGGTCTCTTCCACAACCAGCTGCCCTTTTCCTCCTGAAATTTAATTAAATGGAATAAGAGCTTTTCAAAATCTATAGAACAGAAAACTGGAACTAATGTCCCGGGACCAAAGAATTCCCCAAAAATCTAAGCAAAGAAATTGAGATCATCTTGTATAAACAACTGCAAGATTCAATATCTCTAAAGCAATGAAGAAAAGTAAAAAAACCAAGCATACTAAAAACTTTTGATAGCATGAAACTTAAGCATAGTAGACAACACCACTTACATCATAATCCCATGATGGAGCACTCTTCCTTTCGGTTAAATCAACTGCATCATTCAACTCTTCAATGTTCGGTAGTGGTCGAGGGCGGTCTCCACGATCATCACTATATATCAACAAAAACAAAATATTCAGGTCCCATATTATTAACACATGAACTCACACAAATACAACCAATTGCAGAGTACTAACCTCGTCCATGGGGCGGGCTCATTGTCACATCTCACGAACAAGTATCTGCAAACCTTGCAACCCTATCACAGAAAAGCTTATCCGTGAATAAGTTTATTAAAAGCTATCTAGTAAAAGAATTTTTTGGCTTCATTAAATGTAAATGTACTTGAATAAGTACAATGATTATTACGAATATCTCACTTGTATTCCATCTTTACGCCAACACTTCTCTATTCTATAAACTCCATCATATCTCACTCCAGATTCTGGTGCATAAGAAGAACGCTTTTCCTTGTGGGACCTGACCAGAATGGATGAAAGCAAACAAGGAAAAACTTTCAAACGATTACAATACACAACCCTAAAAAGTATAAAAGAATGTTAATTAAATGCAAACTAGAACAAGGAAAGTGTTAGCAATCCCCTAATAAGGAAATTATATGTAGAAATAATGGACCGTGGAGTCATGTAGGAAGGCCAGGGTTAAGGGTTCTCTAACCCCAGATGTTGAGAGAGATAAAGGAAAAACCTCCATTGTAATATACAACCATTCTCGGCCTTAACAGACCTTAATTCAGACCTTGTAGACATATTGAACAGGGTGTTAGCATCTAGGTGACCTAAAGAACCAAGTAAATTTAGCTCATTTTAGTGATTATCGTGAACCAGAAAATATTCTTTCTTTGAATGTCAGTCTATGAATCCCATGGGTTCCCTACTTGGCTGCATCTGCATAAGGTGGTTAAGAAGGAAATGCATCAAGAAATATATTATGCATCATCTGATGTGCAAAAACAACCTACCCTTGCTGAAGAATTGGTTGTAGACCACCCTATTGGTGAGCCAAGATCAAGCCTTATTACTAGATAAGCAGCAAATGTTAAGCGCACTTCTAAAAGAATGGAGGAAAATCTTTGTGGTTAAGAAGGAAATGCATCAAGAAATATATTATGCATCATCTGATGTGCAAAAACAACCTACCCTTGCTGAAGAATTGGTTGTAGACCACCCTATTGGTGAGCCAAGATCAGGCCTTATTACTAGATAAGCAGCAAATGTTAAACACCCTACCCTTGGTCATATAGCATATAGTCAGAAAATTATTGTGCACATACTTCATCAACCAAGCAGAGCAGGAGACACTTTTATAGAATAATGGAGGAAAATCTACATATGAAGGTCCCATTGCCCAACATTACCAGAAACTTATGGTGTGTTTTGAATCATTTTAGGTGATGCTAAGATCAAAGACATTTAATACAACCATGTTGATGTTAGGGATCAATTGTTCAGAACTTGAGAATCCTCATTAATTATGTCGCACGTATACAAGTTGCGTACTTCTAAAAGTTGAATATCAAAATAATGAAGAAACTGTGGAAGAGTTAACCACAAAGGATCTTTACTTCCCAATAAATGCTTGTTTATAAATTATTAGGACAAATTAGAACTCTTAAAGAAGAATTTATAGATTACCATTTGGCCACGGGAGTTAATAGCATATGCTCATATAGCTGTTAGTCATTCAACCAAGTTGGCCAAAAAAGAGTCAATCAACGAAGTAATCTCGATTTCAAATATGTGATTCAAGGCTATAAGAGACATTGCAATATGGAATTTCGATAGGCATGTAAGTAAAGCACGGACAAATAGATGTTTGGGACTGTATAGTTAAGGCAAGAAAAAGATACATATATTTATTTGATCATTGAATCATATGCTATCTTTGATGGAGTTAAGAAAACTCACCTTACTACCCGAACAGGATAACCTTTATGACAACTAACTCTCAAAGCCTCATTCATGTTCTCAAATTTCTGATCAAAAGACTGCTTCTTATTTGTGCGTTTGTTGCCGCTGAGGTCTCTTCCACCACTGCCAGTATAAAGGAACCACTCACCGTGGTCCTCATCATCCTCGTAACCACCGGATAGCGCAACAGACTGAGCCCCATAGCTACTCTGGCCAGCAATGCCAGCAACATGAGGGAAATGAGCACCCCATTGTCGACATTCCATCCTATCCTCCCACGTGTCTCCAACCAGAACACCACGGTTACGCGTAGGGTCATTCTCCGCCGTAATGGGTCCAAAATGATCAGGAGGAATGGTCACAAAGATCTTCCCACTGCAAGCATTCGCCTTTCCAGTCTTCTTGGCTCGATCCGTTGTGAAAGCTTGATCTGGACGATCCTGATTGCGAATAAACTGATGCACCTTCGGAGCATCGGGGCTTCCCTCAGATTTTGCAATCTTGGCCAATCGAATTGCAATGGCAAGCTGAGAATTGATGCGAGGCTGGCTCGCCATCTTAGGAGGAATGTCATGGCGACAATTAGCACAGGTGCGCTTCCCTTGACCAATCCATTTCTCAAAGCACTTCAAACAAAAATTGTGACCGCACGGCGTCTGAAAAAAAAAAAAAAAAACACACCCAAATCAAAATCTTGTCTCGAAACAAAATTAATGGAACAAAACCAAAGAGTGAGACGAACCGTCACGGGTCTATCAGGTAACTGCATGCAGAAGGAACAGTTCAACTTTCCGTCAAAGATATCAAGCACGCCGTTTCCGTTACCAACATTCTTATCCGAAGATTGAGATGCATTAACGGAGCCGCCAAGGAGCTCTTGGCGCTTCTTGGCCTTCTCTTTTTCAGTTAGAGAAGTGTCCGATTCGATGGCACGGATCTCCGACACGAGACCGCCGGATCCGGCGGGAATCGGGGCGGGGTTGTTGTCCGGGTGAGAAGTACAGTCGGGACAGTCCCAATCGACGGTGATGGGAACGGTGGTGAGGCAAGAAACGTGCCATGGAGTGGCGCACGTGCGGCAAGCGAGAGTATCAGAGGATGAAGGCTTGTGTTTGCAGAGCATGCAGAAGCCATCGGCATCGCAGGGAAGCTGCTTGTTGGGTTGTGCCATTTGGTGTTAAATGAGTGGGGTTCTAACAGTCTCTTAAAACTCAAACTGCATTGGGTTTCACCTCTTATGGGTATTTTTAGGCTTTGGAAAAACCCAATCCATTTTCGACAGCGAGGGAATCTTTTATTTTGAAATTTTTAACTTTTTTTTTCCCTCTCTTATTTTCGATTTCCCTCCCTTTTATCTTTTTTATTATATATTCATATTTAATGACTACTATTTTTAATTATAATATTTAATGACTACCATATATAGAAGACTGTCATTTATGTACATATTAATTGCAGTAAAACATCAATGAAGTAATTGAAGAGATGCATCTTTTCAGCTTCTTGTATCGGTTACATGACTAAGTTCATATATAATTTTTAATGGCAATAAATCTATAATTTTATCAAAATATTAAATTCACATATTTATCATATTAAGTTATTAACTATTTTAATGACTCAATTAAGATCTCAAAGATTAGATTTACTTATATTGATTTTTCTGAAACATAAAAATTAAATTGTTGAGTTAAGTTAGATTAATAAAATAATTTATCAACACTTGAAACAATATAATTTAATTATGAACAAATTCTATTAAAATAATATTATTTTATATTAAAAATAGAAAAAAAAAAGTAATCTATATTTTTTTATAAAAAAAATATTATAGTGATAGGGTTTTATATGTTAAAAAAAATTAAATATTTAAATCATTTGAGTTAACTTTTTTTTTCTAATACTGGCACTTGGGTTGATCTTATAACCTCAGATTACCCATATCACTAGACCAAATGGTTTGAGTTAACTCTAGTTAAATGAAAATCAACTTCAACCTATATTTTTCAAATGTAAAATTATGGAAATAAATCCCATTTGCGATTATCACAAAATATAAAAGGAATGTTATTCAAAGATTAGTGATTTGTATATGGGGTTGATATTTTTCATGTTATAGAAAATAACTAGTGTATTACCCGTGCGATGCACGAGAAAAAAGATCAGAAATTTTATCAGTGACCGTCGTTGGTTAATCTCTAAAAGAAAGAATATGCCACCATTTTCATATATATATAGATATATTAGTGTATTACTAGTGCGATGCACGGGAAAAAAAAAGAAATCGATTTGTCTGTCTCATAAAAATTAACGCAAATCGTAAAAGTATATCGTTGCATTTTATGGTCTTTTGAATTACCACATTTAACTTCAACTATGAAGTATTTGTTAGAATATTAAACGTATTAACTCAAATATTTGTCAACTCTACATGTACAAAAAGTTGGAGTTAGGTACCTCATAGCGTTAGTTAGACATTAACGGCCCTCCGGACGGAGCCCGTTTTGTCATCTCTAATTGTCAATATTTTATATCAACGGTTTGTTAGACAGTAAATATCAATGTTATTAAACTCGACCCGGTTATTGACCCGATCGAGGTACTGGGTTAGTGGGTCATTGGTTCAACCAGTGGGTCACTGGTTCAACCGCATGACTCGGTGAGTATATATAAATTTATAATTTATATAAAAAATTATAAATACATTTAAGTACTTACAAAAAATTTAATTTCAAATATTCTCTCTCTTTTTATAAATAAATATTCTATCTTTATTAGTAAGGAATATTACATTTTGTGTTCCAAAAGAAAAAATGTTACATTTCAAATACAATTTAATATAATAAACTTTTTAAAAAACCGTAGCATTGCAAGAGTCGTTACATTTGACAATATAATGAATTATTTCTTTCACTTTAACAATACAATAAATGCAATTCAGTACATTCCGTTTTCCAATACAATGTAATAAATGAAAAGTACAAAAGCATTGGTCATTCTTATCTACTATTTCACAGCCTTATTTCACAGCTATCTATCGTCTCTTTTTTTGACAGCTATAGTCTCTCTCTCTTTCTTTTTTCTTTTGAAAACAATTATCGTCTTTTTATTGCTTCTTCTTCTTCTTTGCCGTGTCTGTTTCTTTTTTATCCTCTCTCTTTTTGAAAACAGCTCTAGTCTCTCTTTCTTTTATTCTTTAGGGGGTGTTTGGTTGAGGAGAAATTTTTTGAATACTAGGTGTTATGTTTATTTCCTAATCATATATTTTTTGCATGTGTTCTTTGACTAATATTGCCATTTGGTATTATTCTCTTTTAATATATGCTTGTGGGCCAAATGGCTTCAGTATGTTTTTTAACTCTACGGCCCAAATTGTTCACTTTTGCTGGCAATATACCAAACGCATCGTTTTGTCTTATTACGGTGTGATGGCTATCAGTCTGTGATATATACATGTTGCCACAGTGGCATTTTTAACATGCTGATTCATTGTGTGCCATACGATTTTATTTGGGTTGTCATCTTCTTCGTTGAGTTCTCTGAGAAAGAAACATTTTAGGGTTTTCTTTGAGAGCTTGTAAGCATATTTGAGAGGTAAATATCGAGAATCTCATCTCGGTTGTGTTGAGGAAATTATTCCTTGGATCTTGGTGCATCTTTCTATCGGAGCAGAATCTTAGTTACAGTCAACAGTGGAGGAAAGTCTGATCCTGGTGGCGGTCTTCTTTGGAGAAGAACAAATCGTGGTGTTGATGGGCTGAGTGCATCGGATGCAGATGCTGGCCTTCTGATTTGGTGAAGTCCTTCCTGTTATCTTTACTTTTGTTGTTCAATCTTTAGATTCTTGAGATGTATATTCTGAGGGTGCTTTAATTTCTGAAGTATATCTTTGTCTTCGATTATTTCTTCTCTGTTATTAGCTTCTACATGCTGTATACGTGTAATAGTTTTAGCTGTTACTGTTGAACATAATTTTACCTGTTTGCTATCTGAATAAAATTGCTTGCTGGAGGGCGTTTGACCCTCACTGGCCAACTTGGATGTAGGAAATTCTTTTACAAAGAATTTCTGAACCAAGTATAAATTCTGGTGTTGTTCTTTATGTTTTCTGCTTCTGCAAGTCAGTTTTCAGGGGTTATTCTTGGTAGCTCTATACCAAGAATTGTAACAAGTGGTATCAGAGCTTAGGTTCTTGGTTCCTTTTCTCTTCTGGTCAGTATCTGTTTTTGTTCCGTGTTTTCTGTCTTTTTCCCTCTGGTCCTCGTGCTATCTGCTGTTGGAAGCTGAAGAGGATGGGTATCACCAAGGTTGAGGTGGAGAAGTTTGATGGGAGGGGTGACTTTAACATGTGGAAGATCAAGATGATGGCTGTCTTGGTCCAACAGAAGTGTGAGGATGCTGTTGGTCCTCAAAATGATCTTCCTAATTCCCTGACACCTAAGGAACTAAAAAACTTAATGGTTTTAGCTCATAGTCTAATTGTTGTAAATCTGTCTGATAGTGTCCTTAGGCGTGTTTGTAAGATAACTAATCCTAGAGAGCTTTGGGAAAAGCTTAAGGCTCTCTATCAAACTAAATCTGCCCCAAACAAGATGTTTTTGAAGGAGAAATTCTTTTCCTTCAAGATGGATCCTTCTAAGTGCCTGGAGGACAATCTTGATGAGTTTAACAAACTCACCCTAGATCTGGATAATGCTTGGGCAACTGCCTCAAATGAGGATCAAATTTTGATCCTCTTGAATTCTGTTCCAGATTCTTATAGGGGTGTAAAAGATGCTATAAAATACAGCAAAAGGGGAATGGACTTAGATGAGATAACTTAAGCTTTGAAAGCAAGGGAGGTTGAAATACTCTCCCATAAAAAGTCTCATGTTGAGGGGCTGGTTGTGAAGGGTAAAGGGAACAAGAAGGGGAAATTTAAAAATAAATGGAAGGGAAACAATAATGTATCCCAACCTAACCAGAACACACAAGGTAATAAAAATAAGGAGCAGCCAAAAGGTAAACTTATCTGCTGGTTGTGTCATAAAGAGGGGCATATCAAGAAGAATTGCCCTGAAAATAATAAGGGAGCTGCAAAGGCAGCAACTAAAATTGAGTATGCAAATTTACTTAGTGGGTGTGAGGGTGCTGAAGTCCTTATGGTGTCTAATAAGGGCTTTGAGGCTGAATGGGTCATGGATTCAGGTTGCACTTTTCACATGACTCCTAGGAAGGAGTGGCTTGCTGGTTTAAGGTTCCAAAAGGGTGGAAAGGTCCTTATGGGGAATGACCAGGTCTGTCAAATAGAAGGGATTGGGGCTGTCAAGTTTCTAATGGCTGATGGCAGCCATAAAATCCTCAAAGAAGTGAGGTATGTCCCTGACTTGAGGAGAAATTTAATTTCTCTAGGTATGCTTGACTCAAGTGGGCTGTCATTCAAGAGTGAGCAAGGTTCACTCATTGTTCTTAAGGGTAGTGAAATTTTAATGGAAGGAAGGTTGATTAATGGCCTGTACATATTACAGGGCCATGCTATTTCATCTGAAAGCTGTATAACAGCAGCCAAGGATGATGAATCTGTTCTCTGGCATAAGAGAATGGGTCATATTAGCAACCAGGGTCTGTCTGAGTTATGTAAACAAGGCATTATAAGTTCTAAGAAAGTAACTTGTGTTGAATTTTGTGAAAATTGTATTTTAGGAAAAACACACAAGTTACCTTTTCCTAGTTCTTCAAATTTGTCTAAATCTGTCCTTGATTACATACACTCTGATTTGTGGGGATCTCCTAATGTTCCCCCTTCTCTCTCTGGTTGCCATTACTTCCTTTCTGTTGTGGATTCATACTCTAGAAGAGTATGGACCATGTTCTTGAAGCAAAAAGATCAAGCCTTTGATAGCTTCAAGAATTGGAAGACCCTTGTAGAGAATGAAACTGATAAGAAAGTCAAGGTCCTAAGGACTGATAATGGGCTTGAGTTCTGCAATAATCAATTTTTTGATTTTTGCAATGAGCATGGTATTAAGAGGCACAGAACTTGTGCTGAAACACCCCAACAAAATGGGGTGGCTGAAAGGATGAATAGAACCATCCTAAATAAGGTCAGATGTATGCTGGCTGAATCTGGTCTCCCTAAATCTTTTTGGGCTGAGGCTGTTTCCACAGCTTGTTACCTTATAAATAGGAGCC